TTTGGTTTTTTTTTTTTTTTTTTTTTCCCTCTACATTCAGTTATTCATCGTGAAATATCCTGGGTTAAAAATCCTTAGCAAAATTCGGACATCGATGCAGGAGGGGCTCAGAACAGTGCGCCCGTAGGCGAGGAAATAACCCAAAAACTGGTCCGGGGTTGGGGGGGGGGTCGGGGGTCTATTGCCAGCAATGTCCCAGTAAACAGGCAATGTCAGAGGTCTTAAAAATCACATCAGAAAAAAGCGTGAACAGCTTTGCAGTGGAGACGGCCACGGGCACTGGGAGGGCTACGGCCGGGCTAGTGCGGGAGCGGGACCCCCGTGCGGGGTGGGAGCCCCCCGGGCACTGCCGAGCCCCCCGCGGGGGCTGCCTCGCCCAAGCCTGGTTTGGGGATGCGAGCAGCCCTCGGAGCCCCAGCCCTAACGTGAGGTAACAATACCTTGCTACAAAAAATATATATATATATATATTTATAAAACAACCAGGAGTAACCCTTCCGGGGGGGTTCCCGCGGCCGGCGGGACCCCAGCCCAGAAGAGCAGCCCTTTCCCCGGGGCGGGAGCTCTGTGCCATCCGCTTCTCCCAAAGCCACCGCGGTGGGATGGAAGCGGATCGGGCCGAGGGGGAGGCGCGGGGACGCTGCTCCCCCTCCGGGAACGGCATCCCGGGCGCGGGCATCCCGGATGCTCGGTAACAGTACGGACACCAGAGGCCATGCATATGTGATCCAGTCTGGGAGTTTGGTCCAGGCTCGTGCGGGGCGGCCGGCGCGGCCCCTGGGGGGGACAGTGCATCGCTAACATCACACGGGAGGACAAACACCGGGTCCCACTAAGTGACAACTGCACCTGGGCTGTGAGCACAGACCTGGCGGCAGTTTCTGCTCCAAAAAGGCTTCAGAAACAAGGGCACTGTGAACACCGGGGAGGGGTGAGAAGCACCATGGTTTCCTTGAAGATCACAAGAGTTTCAAATCCAAAAGAAGTAGAGAAAGAGAAACGAAAGGGAAGGAAAAAAAAAAGGGGGGGGAAAGAAGCAGAAAGCTCTTCCAAGCAGCAAGGGGCCGCTGCGAGCCCAGGTGTCCTCACACCGTTGATACCAAACTGCCACTGCCGCTGCGGAACAAAGCACAGAGATGCCAGAGTGGCCGCGGGGCAGCACCGAGCCGGGAGCCAGCTCCCCTCAGCACCCACCACGGACCGGGGGCGAGCTCTGCCCAGCCACGGGCTGGGGCTGAGCCCCAAGAGCGACACGGGGCAGCTCCGAGGCAGAGGGGATGGATGGATGGAGGAGGTGCCGGAGCGGGGGCTCTCCGTGGCTTCACCGGCCCCCCGTGAGCCCGGGGCAGCGAGGGAGACGCGACCCTGGAGGAGCACGAGGTTGGGGACACCAGGCTGGCCCCGGGACCTGCCCCCCCTGGGTCCCCCCACTCTCACAGATGAGACCTGGCCCCATCCCAGGCACTGCCGGGAGCCCACGCAGGGACCCCTGTGGGGACACAGCCCCACGGCTTCACCCACAGCCAACACCAACAGCTCGCAGGGAACGCGACAGGAAGGTGACATCTTACCTGCTGACCGACCTCGTCCCGTAGTCATCGAGACCCTGTGGAGAGGAGGGGAGGGAGCACAGTGAGGGACGTGCGGGCTGTGCCTGCTCAGGCGCCACCGGAGGGTCACACCAACAAACCAAAGTGCATCAGGACCCAGGGCCAAGAGCTGATGCATTTGGAGAGGACAGGGAGGTATGGAGATGATTGGAGTGGGATTCAGACAGCAGGGAGTGAAGCTGCACCACTCTCTGTAGAATTTATCTGGCCAGACACTGCTGGGAGAGCCCCTCTGCTCTGCCCAGCCCCTCCAAGGAACAGAGCTCTGGCTGCTGCTGAGATGCTGAGAATGTTGGGAAGGGACTGCACGACTGAGAGACACCAGTGAAATGTTCTGTGGAAAGAGGGGTTGCCTGTATTCACTCCCACCAGAAACCCACAGGGTTTTGGACCATTTTCTCCTTTAGCCGGTGCTGAGCAGGCTTTGAGGGAGGGACCGAGGGGCAGATGGGGACCAGGCCTGGAGAACATCCCTCAAGGACATCCCTCAAGGACATCCCTCCTTGAGCAAGGGCCTGTCCTGGGATACACTGGAGCAGCTCTGCTCTCCATGACAAACATGGGACCACTCCAGGAAAGGGGGGGAGTCTGTGGCCCTTGAGCTGGCCATGCACCAGTGGCCAGAGACCCACATTCCCACCTCCCCAGGAATGCTCCCAGCCACAAAACACCAACCCCAGCAGCAAATCCTGCTGGAAAACCCCAGCGAAACAGCAAGAAGTGGGGTGTTCTTCCACCCCAGTCCCTGCAGAGAGGATCAGATCCCAGCTGATGTGCCCTGTCAAAGGCTCGGTGCTGACTGCCCTTCTCTCTCCCTCCTCATCCTCTCCCCATCTGCCAGCACGTGATGCCAGCCTGACTCGTCCCACTGGGCTCATTCTGGTGGGAGAGCTCCACTCCAGCAGTAGCTCCTGGATTAGGCTGATCCCATCTGCTCGTGCATCCTCCCTGGCTGGCAATCCAAGAAGCCCTGGGCTTGCTTTGGACACTCTGGAATCCTGTCCAAGGTCTGCCCCAGTGTCCCCACGGGACTGTCACCGGCTTGAATTGGCCAGAGAAAACACTTCCAGCTGCCTGTGAGCAGCCTGTTTCTGGTGGGAGCCTCCCATGGAGTCAGCAAGTGTTGTCCTTTGGGGGTTTACGGGGCCGTTTTGTGCCACTGCCCCCCGCGCCTCGCCCGTTCCTGCCCATCCATCGGCTCCCTGCTTCACCCCACGAGAGGTGCTCGGCAGGAGCGGGGTCCAGGCAAGGCACGCGGGTCACCAGGCACAAAACAGCCAAATCTCCATAAATCCCAAAGGAAACATTGCAAGCGTCGGACTTACAGCTGTCGACCTAGTGTAAGGCTTGTAGTGAGCGGAGGGTGCTTGGCAGAGGCCACTGGAATAGTCTTTAATTGCACACCCATAGGGCATTAGGTAGTCCTAAAACAACGAACAGAGGTTGGAGAGCCGCCCTTGGCACCCCCACGCACCCGGGAACATCCCGGCGGGACGGGGAGCCACAGACCCCGACTGCACCCAGGGATCTGCTCCAGCGTCCCCCGTTCCTCAAACGTCCCCCCGGAGCGGGACAGCCCAGGTGGGAGAAGCTCACCTGGGAGAAGGCGGGCACGGCCACGCTGTACGGCCGCTGCTTGAAGGTGTTGCCGCCCTGTGCCGGGAAGGCCTGGGAGGCCATGCCGTAGTCCGGCGGCGGGATGGAGATGTCATCCTTGTCCAGGAGGTTGCCAGTGCTGCTGCTCTTCCCTTGCTGCAGGCTGGGGGCCCAGAGCAGAGGCGTCAGCTCCGTGCAGAGACCCCCCATCCACTCGTGGCCAAAAGCCAGCCAGAACCAGCACTGCCACCACCCCCTGCTGTTATTCCTAACAAGAATTCCCTAATTCCCATCCCAAGGACACCCCAGACCATGCTCGTACCTGGTGTGGACCCGCTCGCTGCCATCATTGTCAAGGACCCGTGTGTAGGAGAAAGGAAACCAGCCCCTCCTGAAAGGCAAAGGCGAGCGTGAAGCCAAAGCCAGGTTTGTCCGGGGAGGATCCGGACCAGGCTGCTCCCGAGGACACCCAGCACACTCACATTTTGGTTTTCTCGCTCTCTCCGTAGTGCCAGCCGTCCCGGGCCTCGGGCACCAGCAGAGTGATGAGGTCCCCCTCCTTGAAGCTCAGGAGGGTGCTGTTATCCCCAGCAGCGTGCGAGAAAATCGCCTGCACCCTCGTCCGGCCGTTCCTCTCGAGCCCGGCGGCCATGGAGCTGGAGCGTGGCAGTGTCTTGTTTTCAGCTGGGGGGACAGAGACCAGTGGGTTCCCCAAATCCTGGATGCCAAGGCCATGCCCATGCACAGGACAGGCCCCCACCCCTCCTTGTTTCAGTCTGGGTCACACTAAAACCTTCAGCGTGACTCACACCTTCCCCCTCAACCAGCAGGACCAGACCCTCGGCATCACCCACCAGCCATGGTGAGGGCAGCAGGTTCCCTGCACCAAATTCCACAAGATTTTCCTCCTGGAAATCCTGTGAAACCCCAGGGCAGAGCCCAGCTCCAGCATTTCTTAACGCCGGTGTCAAGAGGCATGAGCAGCATTGACACCGAGGGGATGCTGTGGGTCACTGTCCCCCCAGCAGCAGCACCCAGGTGACCATCCCCAGCCCCAGGTGACCATCCCCAGCCCCAGGTGACCATCCCCAGCCCCTGGTGACCATCCCCACCCCCAGGAGCTCTCCTGTGGGCAGAGCTGGCTCCAGGCCCCCAGCAGCAGCGGGGCCGGGGTCTCACCTGAGGCGTAGCTGTTTTTCGGTGCCACGTTTTTGCGAACTGGGAGTGTATTGGAGTAAGAGTCACTCAGCTGCTTCTGAGGCTGGGGAGGAGATAAAGATTTGGGCTGTGCTGGCTTCATCTCAGACCAGTGGTTGTACCCGTCGCTGTCAGAGCCCGACACTCCGTTCATCACCGGCATGGCCTCCTGTGCCGACATGCGCTACGAGAGAGGAGGGGAGGGGGACACGGGGGTGGCTCCATTAGGGCATCCCCCTGAAGCTCCAGGGACATCCCCTGCAGCTCCCCAGTGGGGCACAGCTCCGGGGAGAGAGGCAAAGCGGAGCCTCGTCCTGCTGGGTTCAGTTCCCACCCACTCTGGGGGCAGCAGTGGGGTCACCTCTATGGCATTTGCTGCTCTGAGCTCCCCTGCACCTGCCAATTCCCTGCTGAGCTCTATGCTCAGCTCCTGCCCCCACATTTGGGGGGACACCCTCTTCTGATGGGTCCTTCATCCCACGGGTCACTCCAGGCCTTTCTCCCTCAGTTACTGGGGTACCTGGGTTCAGTCCCATGGCTCGGGGCCCAGCCTGGACAGGCAGCTCCAGCTCGTGGGGTCCCCAGAGAGCGGCTGGGAGCCCCTGCTCTGCCAGAGCTCAGTGATCTGCTGGGATGGGGTGGGACAGGCTGCCCGTCCCCAGGCCGGGCTCCTTCCCACATGCCAGGATGGCACAGCACGGAGCTGCCCATCGCTGCCAGTCCTTCCAAGGGCAACTTGCCGAGGACAGCGGTGACACCGGCCTGGGCTCGTCCCTCCGGCTTTGCTCAGAAGGGCAGGACAGCTTCCACCACAGAGATACTTACTCCTACAAAAGGTGCCAGCTCCGGGGGGACAGGGAGAGGTTTGGCACCAGGGATGGGGTCAGAGATGATGAGGTTGGACTTGGATGTGGACAGAGGGCTGGGCATAATGGTGCCATTGCTGCTGGCAGCCATCTGCTGCATCAGCTGTATGGCGCGGTCCGGGATCTTGTTGGGATCCGAGCAAGATTGCTGCCACAGCGGCAGCTTCTGCGTCAGCATCTCCTTCCCCTGCAAGAGCAAAATGAGGTGTGAGGGCACAGGGGTGCAGGTGGTCTGTCCCCCCTCCCTGGGCAGCACCACATGGATCCAGGGCTGGGCTGGGACTGATCAATGGCTCTGTGCATGGCACAGGCAAGATAACACACAGGGACACCCTGCTTCCAGGGCCTGATGGCAGCAGAGCCAGGAAGATATCATGAAAAATGGGAATGAGGGAAGGAAAAGGTAATCCATCACCTCAGTTTATTCCGAGATAGCCTGTGTGCAGCATCTCCAGGCTGTAGGGAGCTGGGCAGGGAGCTGGGCCCCATGTGGAGCAGAGAAATAAAACCAGCCTGAAAGCTTGGCCGTGCTCCAGGCTGTCCCCACATCCCCAGGGATGAGCTGCTTCCCATGGGTGCTCAGCCCCAACAGCCTCCAGGCCCCTGTGCTGCATCCCAGCCCCACTGCTCCCTGCCTGCAGGACTGGCAGCCACCTGCTGCCATGCTCCAAGGGGGAAATAGATGGAGCCAGACTTGTCCCAGTTCACCCAGAATGTGGGAGCATCCCCTTGTGTGACTCTGAGGGGGAAGATGTCCCAACCCCCTCGAGGTCACTCCAGTACAGCCAAGGGTGACCTGATGTCTCTGCTCTGCCTCATCTGGAGACAAAATGTGGTTCTGCATATGAAAATCCCTCGAAATCCAGTTCCAAACTCCCTGCATATTCCCCAGCCAGTGGGTGCAGCCTCACGATCCCATCAGCATCCCGCAGGAGCCACGGGCAGCAGCAGGATGGAGTTTTTAGCAGGACATTCACCATGCCCTGGATAAGCCACCTGCAAAGTCCCTCCTGCAGAATCACCCTGTGTGCTGCTGCAGGCAGGTTTTGGTTTGTTCCCGCTGACCGCCAGCCCTGGGGGGTGTTTTTCCCCTCCCGCACTTCGCTCGCCAAGCCAAGCGTGGATCCGTGGATGTGCCAGGACAGAGCTGACTAATCCCAACTCCCTCTCCTGCTCCAGCGCCAAGCGTGGCGGTGACAGATGGCTGCTGTGAGCCACGGAGGGCGGCGGTGGGGAACAAGCAGAACGGGAGCACGAGGCTGCGGGAGCAGCACCAGCGCTCCCAGCCCGCGGCTGGATGGATCCCGCTCCAGACTCACACAGGTGCTGCCGCTTCCCAGGCGGGCAGGGGAGCTCCAGCCCTGCTCCAGGAGATGTGGGCAGCCATGGGCAGGAGGGATGTGCAGTTGTCATGGGCAAGAGGGATGTGGAGCAGCTGCTCCTGCTGGGACACCTTCCCTGGAGTCACCTGCTGGTACATCACCCCCTCCCTCGGTCCCCAAACTGCTGTGGGGCTGCAGCAGCTCTGGCTTTTGGGATATCAGAATGATGATCATTGGGATATCATTTGGGATATCATTTGGGATATCAGGCCGTTGATCATTGGGATATAATTGGGATATCATTTGGGATATCAGACTGATGATCATTGGGATATCATTTGGGATATCACTGGGATATCATTTGGGATATCAGGCTGTTGATCACTGGGATATCATTGGGATATCATTTGGGATATCAGGCTTTTGATCATTGGGATATAATTGGGATATCACTGGGATATCATTGGGATATCAGACTGATGATCACTGGGATATCATTTGGGATATCAGGCTGTTGATCATTGGGATATCACTGGGATATCATTTGGGATATCAGGCTGCTGATCATTGGGATATCATTTGGGATATCAGGCTGTTGATTATTGGGATATCACTGGGATATCATTTGGGATATCAGGCTGTTGATCACTGGGATATCATTGGGATATCACTGGGATATCATTTGGGATATCAGGCTGTTGATCACTGGGATATCATTTGGGATATCATTTGGGATATCACTGGGATATAATTTGGGATATAATTTGGGATATCAGGCTGTTGATTATTGGGATATCACTGGGATATCATTTGGGATATCAGGCTGTTGATCACTGGGATATCATTTGGGATATCACTGGGATATCATTTGGGATATCAGGCTGTTGATCACTGGGATATCATTTGGGATATCAGGCTGTTGATCAGCTGTTGATCAGCACCGGGTGATGGGGCAGCCGGGTCTGGCTCACCTTGGCGTGGTAGGTGATGGCGCTCTTGGCCACTGCGCACTGTTTCTCTACCAGGAAGCAGAAGCGTCTCCTCTCTTCCGTCAGAGCGGTCTTGTAGCCATCAGACACGTAATTTTCCAGCTCCCCTTGCTTGTTGCTGATGGCTTCGATGTACTGGAAGAGGGAGAGGAGCAGGGAGGGGGCTGCGGCAGCGCTGCCCAGTGCACAGGGCAGGGGGTGCCACGGAGAGGGACAGGTGGGGACCCTGGCATGGGACACACACAGGGACACAGGGACACACACAGGGACACACACAGGGACACAGGGACACACACAGGGACACAGGGACACACACAGGGACACACACAGGGACACACACAGGGACACAGGGACACACACAGGGACACAGGGACACACACAGGGACACACACACACACAGGGACACACTCAGGGACACAGGGACACACACAGGGACACACACACACAGGGACACAGGGACACACACACACAGGGACACAGGGACACACTCAGGGACACAGGGACACACACAGGGGCACACACAGGGACACACACAGGGACACAGGGACACAGGGACACACACACACACACAGGGACACACACACACACAGGGACACACTCAGGGACACACACAGGGACACAGGGACACACACACACACAGGGACACACTCAGGGACACACACAGGGACACAGGGACACACACAGGGACACACACAGGGACACACACAGGGACACAGGGACACAGGGACACAGGGACACAGGGACACAGGGACAGGAACAG